GGGAGGATGTCAGAATTGAAGGGCTGATCTCCTGCCTCCTGATCCAAAAGTACATTGTCCTGCCTTTATCTCATCGCTAGGACTATGTCTTCATGGTCTCCTGTGTGAATGTGGGAGCCTCCCCATCCACAGAATGGCCCAGCTCACCTGCTCTAGGAAAGCAGAGTGAATCAGATGTCTTGGATGGCGTCTATAACTACTTTTAACCACTCTATCTCCGTTACTTAAGTAACAGAAGACTTCGGCTCTGATTCAGGATCACTCAGTCACTAACTTGCTGGATCCCCTTGGGCAAAGTCTCTGGCCCTCACTAGGTCTCAGTTTCCAGAGAGTCCTCCTGGCTCTTCAGTCTAGCACACTGTAAGGTAGGCAATGGCACCACACCTGTCTCCCAACCCAAGCCCTAAAGTCAAAGAACTGGATTTTCTTTTCTTTTCTTTTCTTTTCTTTTCTTTTCTTTTCTTTTCTTTTCTTTTCTTTTCTTTTTTTGGCCAGCAGGGTTGAGGTCTGGACTGGGCTTGTGAGCTCCTACATCCCTCAAGGGAGCTGGTCCATTCCTGAATGACCATGCTTTCCAATTTCAACCAGTTAAGCTACAAAAGCCACATCGCAGACATAACTCTCAGAGGCCCCTTAAATTGGCTGTGCTGCGTGGCTTGATGGAGGGCTTTCCAGGCATCCCAGGAACAAGTGTGAAAGCTGAAAAACACTCAAAGCTCACAGCCCCCTCCCCCTTGGCCCATTAGTGAGCCAAATGGGTGTTTCTGGCAATGATTAGTCTTAGCTTTGTTAGGTTTTATTGGTTCTTTTTGCTGTTTCCCCCCAATTGGGTCATAATATTGGGTTCTCAAGAGTTTGCATCTCAGGCAAAAATGGATACATGTCAAGTACAAGTGGGAGGCCTAATAAATACTAAATTCATAAAAGGGCTTTACATAAACCCTCAACGGATGTCTCAGAGAGAAAGTGAGAAAGAAATTGCTGAACAGGAAAGCGTGGGCCCTCATTGGCGATAAGCGCAAACAATAGACATGACAGGACAAGGCAACCATAACGGAAGGGACGGTTTCAGGCTGCACTGAACGGGGTCTAAGGACCCTGGCCAAGGGAGGTGACGTCTCCATTGTTCTTGGGTCCATTAGGATTCCTTTGATAGCAGGTGTTGGAAACCTGACCTCACCTGGCTTCAGCAGGAACAGAGAACATGTATTGACTCATTTAACTTAATTGTCCTGAATTAGACTTTAGACATTGCTTGATCCCCTGTGCAAATACCATGCCTTCGTTTTTCTCTTTCTCTCTCTCATTCTGTTTCTCAGCTTTGCTCACTAGAAGGGGGGTCTGTTCTTGGGCAAACTCACCTTCCACGGTCTTCCAGTGACCGCGGGAAAGACTCACAACTCAGTATCTCAAGTTGAATTCAGTGACAGAGGATGAGAATCTTAGACCTGCATTCCCCCCAGCCTGAGTTCCTCTGCGTCTCATTGGCTGAGATTGGATCATGTGGATCCACACGGCCAGAGGATGGGACGCACTGACTGGCTTAAACTCAAGTCCTACATCTCAGCCAGGAGTGGTGGTGTCAATGCTACTTGGGCTTAGAGCGGCAGAAAGAGCGATTTCCTTCCCGCAGAGAGGAGATGCAGAAGGAACCCACACATGAAGTGCTGTGCTTTTTGTTAGGCTCTATATGTAATGAGAAGCATGAAGAAAATGAAACAGGGCCAGGAAGTGGTAAAAGTGATGAGGAAAATTAGAAATCTTGCTCGTAGAGAAGAGTTGGAAGAAATAGGGTTGCTTTGCCCAGAGAAGAGAAGTTAATGGGGGAGTCATAAACACTGTACCCAAGCACCTGAAGTGGCCAGAAAGGGCTAGATTTACTCTGCCTCAGTGAGGGGGGAGCTGGGAGGGAAAAACGGATTTACACACCCTGATCAGTAGATCCTATTTGCCTTGGTCGATCATATCTATCATCTCTTCCTATTACGGGCTCAGACAGCCACACAACGGGTTTCTGCTGTTACCCAGTGGCTTCCCTCTAGTGTCTGAAGCCGGAATCAGCTGCTGTGACTTCCCTGTTTAAGAACCTCCAGGAGCGCCCTCTTGCAGTGGATTAAATATCCTGGGGGGGGGGGTAGTTGATCTGCCTCTGCTCACCTTTCTGGCCCATCTCAGAGCCCGCTCCTCCTCATTTCTGAAGCAACAAGCTCACTCCATTCTTGCTTTCTCTGTTTCTCAAAGGTGTCAAACATACATCCACCTCAGGGCCTTTGCACTGGAACAGCCTGTAGTCTAGCTCCCACAGGACTAGCACCATCTCATTAATCTTATCTCAGCTCAAAGACCCACCCTCTGACACAGGAGAGAGAGAGTTTCCCTGAACAATCTGTCCAAAGCAACACCTCTCACCCCAGGACCTCCCAGACTCTCCACTGCCTTTCTCTGTTGCACACAGTAACATACATTCCTCAACTTTCTAAAGTTATTCATTTTGTTTATTAACATAGAATTTATTAACTTACAGAAGACTATCTTCTCCATAAGGTTGAAATGCCCTCAAAACAGGGATCTTCCTTTTCTTGTTCACTGCTATATCCCCAGTGCCTAGAAGAGTATCTGGACTGTTTTTTCTTTTGTCGCACGATTGCACAAAGAGATTAATTTCTACAGCTCTTTGGTCCGATGAAATGCTGGGTTTCTAACACTTGAATGTATCAGAGCGCACTGATAGAGCGTTTATCAGAGATGGATTTCTGCATTGAGCAAGGGGCACATCCCAGAGCTCCCAGATGCAAGGGACCCATGATACACCCCACAACAAGTAAATGACAGCAACCTTGGATGTAATTCCTCTGGTCTCGCCACATGCCAAATGGAAATTTCTTCCAAGCCCTACTGTCGGTACCGGGTGTTTTTTAATTAAAGACATTCTTTGAGGAATTGTGTTAATCCTGCCAGTACCTGCCTTTCTAATTCCCTCTTTCTCACTGTGAAGAGAAGGCATATTGGCCACTCTGGACCCAACTGAGTTGTTTTCCAAGAGAAGAACTTTCAATCCTTCCACGCACAATAATGAAATATGATACAAAACAGGCCTGTGTCAATAAATCTACAGGAGAAAGGTCAGGCTTACATTGCTGGACGGGATTGGCAAATACATTTGTTCCTGCAATGTCTGTGTTTTAAATGCCACCCTCCGATGAACCTGGTGCTGAAACACACTTTGGAGTTTGATGAGATGTCAGTTCTGCTCAGCCCTGATCAAATAAGATGAATGAAAGTGAAACAAGAACAAAAATATTACTTCTGTCATTTTTTTTTTTTATGCATCACAGGAATTGGGTCAGTTGGGGAGATTTCTCTTAAACAAATACCAATCCCTGCACAATGTCACCCATTGATCTGGCAGACAGTGGACAATGATCGCTTTTGCATGGGAAAGGGCACCCGACGGGAGGAGCAAAGACCAGGGCAGCACCCATATAATGCCAGCTCCCACTTCGCATCTTCAAAATCCGCCCACCTGCCTCCCATTCCCGCTTCAAATAATGCTCTACGAGAATATGGATTTCTCCCTGCACCGGGCAAACATGGTTAAAGAACAGGATGGAATTTCTCCTGAAAGGAAGAATTAAAATCATTAACTGCTCATTTATCCAACTTAAAACATGCGAATTAAATTAAACAGAGACCTAGAGACCTGTATGACCCAGTCTGAGGGCCATGAGGTCATGGCATGAGGTCAAGATAAATTATGAGGTCTGGGATGGGAAATGGCAAAATAGTAGTAATTCAAAAGGAGCCAAAGACCAGAAATCAGTAAGGTAGATGAAACAACAGGAGACAATGGGCAGTAGTAGGCATTATGGACCATATCAAGTAGGGAGTGCCGGGAGCCATCTTTACCTCCATGTGGGGTAAGGCTGCATGGGAATGAAGCCAGCACAGAGCAGAGTGAAGCCGAGAGAGGGACATGGGCAAATTCCTGATGGCTGGAGCATCTGGATTCAGCCCTGGCCACAGCCCAGTGCTCCAACTTCTCATTTACATGTGACAGTACTTTTCCTTTCATGTTAAAAGTTTAAATCAAAAATAAGTAAAATGAAGACATGGGTGCTTGCCTGCCTGATTACCCAGCAAGGGATCCTAGAGCACCACATAGAAACTAAGATTTGTGCTGGACAGAGAGGCTGACTCTCCATTACCAGTGCTCCTGATTTATGCAGGGGAAAGTGCACGGAGAGCTCTGTCCTCTGCTTCCATAGGCCCTCTACTCTCCCAGGCTAGACCAACATAGAACCCACAGCGCAATTACTAAGAGCTTGGTCCTAAGGGGACTATTGTTCTGGACTATTGTGTCTGTTCAGCTCTTTCAAGTTTTAAAAACACACCAAGAATCACTATGGAAAAAAATATTTCCATGCAGTGTTGAACAGAAAGGTCCCCAAACCCTCTCAAGACACAGAGGTGTGCAGTCTCAACCCTGAAGTGGAAACTCCCAGCGGTATCCTATCCAGAGCAAGACCATTGCTCACTTTGGTATCCTTGATGTTTAGTGTATGGTTGGGTGCCTAGGTGGTGTGTGTGTGTGTGTGTGTTTCCAATGAAAGTGCGAAGATCTTCTGAGTCATCTTATCTATGTCAGAATCCCCTACTGCTCCATGGAGAAAATGCTGGTTAAAAAAACAAAATAGTTATCTGAACCATGGAGCTCAAATTACAATATTTGAAGATAACAGGGACTTTCCATCAAAACTGGGTGAGGATGATTCTGGACTGGGGTGAATGAGAGCACTTGATTTGGTTACCAATTTCTTCTCCCTTATTCCCACAGACTCCAAAAGGTATTCATAATTTTTTTGCCAGAGCCTCTGAATGATAATATGTAATTCATTGTTTTTTCTTAGAAAGATTTCCTTTCACTTTCCCCCGGTGAATATGTTGGATTTACGGAATTTTCTATTATTCCGTTCAACTGATATTAGACCCAAGGAAAAGGAGTTGAGAGATACTCCTGATGCCAAAGTATTCAGGAATGCCAGCGTCTTCTGGGCTAGCGGATGGAGTACCATGAGATGTTCTGAACAAAGAGAGAATGGAAGTGGCCATTAGTGAGAGTGAAGGGAAGATGGGGGTGGGAAATTCTCCAGTTTCTTCTGATGATTTTGCTCTCACTCCCTGACCTACACAGCAGGTTTCACATAACTTGCCAATGGCTGAGACTGGGAGATGTCTCTTTAATCCTAAGCTCCTCTGTGTCCACCCAGATACTTGTCAGGACACTCCCTGCATACCCTTTGCAAGGTTCAGAAAAAAAAACAAAACCTGAACTTTGCACTGGGGTGCAGCACTTGTATTCCTATTGCAAAAATGGGACTAATCACACTGTCAAACCACCTCACATCATGTGACTTTTCTCTTTCTCCTTGACCTTAAGAAATGCCTCCTCTAAATTTTGGTAGTTCGTGCTGGTTTCAAATTTGTTTTATGTAATCATCCCCAAATGCCTCAGTTGCGCTGGTAGCACTGTTTTAGAAAGTATGAACTTTATAACAAAACAAAAGAATAAAACCCATTCTGTATGCTTCTAAAATTCAGATTCATTGCTTAGATAAAAGACAGGTTATTAAAAGGTACACATTCTCCATGTGAGAAGGGGAAAAAGAAAGAAAGCAAGAGGCAAACCATAAGAGGGTCTTTTTTCTTTTTTTTTCTTTTAAGAGAGGAAGAAAAACAGAGTGAAGGAGGTTGTTGGAAGGGGCAGAAGGAGAGAGAAAGAGAGAATCCCAAGCAGGCTCCACACCAAGCACAGAGCCCAATGCAGGGCTTGATCTTACAACCCTGAGATCATGACCTGACCTGAAATCAAGATTTGGATGCTTAATCAACCCAGGTGCCCAAAACCGTAAGAGACTCTTAACAACAAAGAATAAACAGGGTTGATGAAGAGAAGTTGATGGGGGCATGGGCTAGCTGGGGGATGGGTATTAAGGAGGGCACTTGTGATGAGCACTGGGTGTTCTAAGTAAGTGATGAATCACTAAATTCTACTCCTGAAACCAATACTGCCCAGTATGTTAACTAACTAGAATTTAAATAAATATTTGAAGATAAAAAGTACATGTTTTCATTGTTGATCCTTTTCATTATATAATCATCATCATCAGTCATTTATTGAACATTCCCTAAGTGCCAAACACTGTACTAAATGTTTACATGCATGATCTCTGTTTATTTTTCTTCTGTATTTATCCATTGCTTCCATTACTGGCAAAAAAAAAAAAAAAAAAAAAAGACCGCCTTGATATCCAGGTAACACGTACTTCTTTTGAAAGCAAGAGGCAGAGGGCGTGCACCAAACCCATTGATCCTAGAAGCAGAGGTGGTTCCCCTCAAACACCAACAGCCATGCTTACTTGCAGGGAGCTTGTCAACACAGCTGAATAAGACACAGGACAGCCGTGCTGTGTAAGTGGGGTGGGAAAAGGCTATGGTGACCAGAAGTGACACTTTCCCTGCTCCATGTCCACAGTGCCAGGGAGGGTCAGTACCAGAGCTAACCAGATCTATACCTGTGGGAGAGCGGACTCTCCAAGGAATGCCGGTGGGGGCTCGTAGACTTAAAACTAACAAATAAAATCAGTTCGACGCAACTAAGTTAGATGTCCTCAGTGCCCAACATTAATATGTTTGTATTTGTACACCAGCAATCCCTTAATAAATACATTCTCTCTTGTCCCATTGAAGTATTCTGTAAATAAATAACAAAACACCTCACTTTTGCTGACTAATCATTTTTCCTTTCTGTCCGGGTGCCAGTTGCACTTTATAAATGGCTTTAATTTACAGTGCGTTATGTTTTCTTCTATTTCTCGCCTCTAAATCCCCGTGCAATATTTTGTATCCTTTCCCAAGATAGTTTAAGTGTCTTTAGCCTTTTCAGTGAGGTGTGGGTGTGTGTATGAGTGTAAATGTGTGTGTTTGTGTGTGTGAGTGTGTGCGCACAGGACAGCACCATCTACCTATTTTATTCCATCATTTCTAAATGGGTCAAATGAAGTTTGTCATTTTTGCCAACTGTCTTGGAATCATTATGTGTCCATTAATATCAATTATATTTGCTCTATATAAATCAGCCCCTGGAAGACTGTGGCCAGAGCAAGGTTATCCTTTTGGTGTGAACATGGAAGGAGAGACTGAGCTGGGGATGGGAACGTTCATTGTTGAAGCCACAGCAGATATCATGTTGTCAGATCTGGCATCTATGTCAAGTGTCATTCTTTGAAGACTGATTTGAAGCTTTCTCCAGAAAACACCAACGTGCACTTTTTAACATAAGGCAAAATAACAACTACTGTTTAGTGACCTATGCAAAGTTCTCTCTTTGCCCGGCTTTGTTAATCTTCACAAAGAAACCTGAAGGGGTGGGTGTTACCATTATCCCCATTCCATAGATGGAAAACTGAGGCTGGGGGAAGGGAAGTCTTTTGCCCAAGGTCATTCGGAGAGTTTAAAAGGCCCAGCTGCATTTTGATCTGATGCCAGAGCCTGCCTCTGAATCTCTAGCCAGTAGAGCCCGAGTCAGATTTCTAGCAGTGGGAGAATAAGAACCATGCTTGACAAAGTAGCAGTATCCAACACAAATGTTTGTTCTCTCAGTTTCCATGGGTCAAAGACTTCAGCTCCTGCCAGGCGGGAATCTCCACAGGACAGCTGGGATAGCCTCACAGCATGGCATCCGTATTCCCTCAGAGCAAGTGATCTGATAGAGAGGAGACTACTACACCACCTTTTATGATCTGTCTCTGACCTACACACACACATAAACACACACACACACACAAACACACAAACTTCTACTTTATTCTACTCTCAGGTGCAAGTCATCAAGTACAGCCCCCACTCAACAGGAAAGGACTACACAAGATTGTGAATACCAAGAGGAGAGTACCATGTGGCCATCTTGGAGGCTGCCTACCACAGAAGGCTTCTCAAGAAATGGGATATTTGCTCTGAGAGCTCAGCAATGAGAACAATGCACTTCAGAGCACAAATCAAGGCCTTGACATGGGAGACAATAAGCCTAAAAGAAGCAGCATCTATGTATTAGGTGGATGACAAGGGAGACTAGTGAGCAGACCTTGGTTCTCTTAGTTCTGACAAAATCCTAGACTACTCATGCTTCTACCTCTTCAGATGTTTCTCTTCTTCCCCCACTTGGTTTCCCTTCCAGGCCAAGGTGCAGATGCGAAGTCCCATGCCCCAGGTGGCTTTGACCCCTGTTCCTCCACTAGGCTGTTCTCCTACCCAGCATGCCATTTTCCCACTTCCCTAAATGCTGACCTGCTCCAAAGCCCACCAGAGCCACTGCCTTCTCTCAGATGCCTCCCCTGATGCCCTACCCATCCTGTCCCCTTTCTCTGATCACGTGCCTTGAGGATCTCAGATACATAAGACTTGGCTTAGGAGCAATGTCTATGCCCTTCTCATTTGTTGCTTATATCTCCAATTTCTTCAGGGAGAAGAAAATGTTTTGCTCATTTCTGACATTCATAAAGACCCCTGTGTCAGTCAAGTCCCAGTGGCCAAGAACTGGCTCATGCAGACCAGAAATCTGAGGAGTTACTAAAAGAATTAGTATATAAGGTTTAAAGAAATGAATAGGAGGTAGTACAGTATCTAGGGCTAGCCCACAGCAGCTAGCCATTCCTCCCCTAGACCTGAGGGAACAAGGAGTGGTATCCCAAAGGAAGAGAGGCTTATAGGGAAGGAATCACCTGAGAGGACCTGTGTCCTCCAGAGCCATCCACAGTGAGCTGGCAAGGAGAGAACAGAAGTAAATACCCTGACTTCCTTCTCCCCTTACCTTCCCACTTTCAGTGGCAGCTTCCATTGCCCAAACTCAACTAGAAGCCAGAGGTTGGGGGCGGGGTGGGGGGCGCTGATAATGCAATTCATAGGGGTCAGCCTCTGGGGTATGGACCAGAGTGGGGAATGAATCTGGAGAAGCCAGTGGAAGCTCCCTAGCAAAAACCCACAGTGCCAGACCCAGAGCTGGTGCCAACCTAATGCTGCCCAACACCCCAGAGCTTTGCCCAGTGACCTTCTGGAACCTGCTTGGTCCCCTACAGCCTCCTCCTAGAACTCCCCTGACAGGACATCTGCCCCATTTGAAATCCTCTTCCCGCATATTAGTTCCCCTTTCCTCAAAAGGTTTATATATGAATCACTGGCTTTTTTAAGGGACTATCCTAGGAAAGCACATTGTATTTGTGTTAAGATGGACCCACCCTACGTTCACAGTGAGCTGACAGTGGAAGTAACATCCACGCCCCCCAAGGAGGGCAGGTGCCTCCATGACTGAGGAGTCCTTTGAAGGGGTGCGAGCACTGGTCTCCATGATAATTCACCCATTCTTCCATCTGGTTTCTTTACAGTGCTTGGAATTTATAAAGCCACTGTTGGAGTTTATGCCAAAGCTCTTGCTTTTAATTAAGTGGCCTAGTTTCAGTAAATAGTGTGACAGGGACGAATCTACCAGTGGAGACTGATGTTATGAGCAAAAGAGCTGCCAGACCCAGTGGAAATGCAGCCCCCATATGGCAGGGCTTGGAGGGAGCTGCTTTGGCAAGACACTTCCATTTCAGTGATCACAGACCAGACAGAGGCCTCCAGAAGTGACCGGGGATGGAAAGGAGCCAGGATGTGTCTTTTCCAAGAAGAATAGCAGCAGACCCCAGGCTGTCTCAGGGACGTCTCAACCCTTGAACAATTGAAAGGGGCCTAGGGACTATCTTCCCAGCTGCTGGGCCTGCGTCCAAAGATGGGGCTGGTCCATAGTGCCATTTTACCATAGTCCACAGAGAAATGAGAGCAACTAAGTGAGGTATTTTTAGCAGCTAAAAAAAATTCAGTTTCAAGAGTTGTTTTTAATTTTATATTATTATAAATTATATTATTCCTTCTTTCTTTACCTGGTATGAAAACATCTTTTAACAAGAGCTGATTATAGTAGACAATGGGGTTTTATAAAAACATATATTTAATGTCCTAACTTGAGCTTTCCCAACTCCCTGACACACAGAGATTAAAAAATATTAATGGCCTATGGAATCCCAAAGGCTGAAAATTCATGATGTAGTGATTAATAAAAATACTCATGCTCAGATGTGCAGACTGAGATTCTGAGTCTTAAAACAGGTCCAGGAATGTTGACCGAACACCCTGTCTTCCCACAGCCTTGGGGCTTTCCTCCAGCTCTCACCACATGGTAAGGGGAGGAGAAAGGCCGTGGAGCCCTCCTGGGATGACCTTCTCCAACAAGGCTGGCGATGCCTGGCACTCTGGACATTATAACAGAAGCGTCATCACATGTGTAAGACTGGTCGTTTCTCCTCCGGCTCTCTTTCTCCTTTGACTCACACACAGTTCAGATGGCATCCACAAATTCAGCTCCCCTTGTAAAAGTCCATATTTTACTGCCCAAGAAGAGGGAACTGAGATTCAAATTTGGCAGGTGTAACCCCTTAACCAGCGGTAGCTGGTCCCTGGCAAGTGATCTAACCTTTCAGACTCCCTAGTACTCTATTACTTACTCACTGTGCACCAGACTAAAGCCCCATATGGTTTCCCCACGTCAGTCCTGTTTACAGTTATATATACAGCACCTAACACAATGTCCAGCATATAGTTAGCACTTAGAAAACATGCAATCCACGAATCACATTCTGTAAGGTTTTCAAGGCTGAAAGCCACACTTCTTTATTTGTGGAATGTGAGTGACAATGATAGTTTCTGCATTGCATTCAAGTAAGGCTTTGCAAAATCATGACCAGGGCTATAACGGCAAATTGTCAATTCCTGGCCACCCAGCCTCCAGGGTTGGTGGCAAGGACAGTTACAACCTGACCAGGGGATAAGATTTCCCATAACCTGGTCCTGGGAGGTAACAGCTGTGCAGTAGGATTCATGGAAATCCAGAAAGGCCCAGAATGGGCTCTGCAGAGGTTCCCAGAGCGGCTCTCCCTGAAAATAAATTAAAGGGCATACACCCAGCACATCCTGGCTCCCTCCCAGAACTGGGCTGCCTTACTCAGGTGTCTTTCCCATCAGGAGACACTTTCACAAAGTTGGTATTTGTGTCACACGGGGAGATTTCAAAATGCTGTATTTGGAAACATGAATGTGTAATGTCTCCCTGGAAATCTACACCTTCTCAGTGAAAGATACAAGTGCAGTCCAAGACAGACATGTTTAATTAGTGAGCAAACTTGACATTTCCAATGTTTGGACTAGACAGAGGAAAAGCCAAGAGCAAACCGAGATCTTTTCTTCATCCCCTCCCCCAGCTTGCTGACAGAGGATAATTTATTGGGTTTGAAGAAAAAAAAATGAACGTCTTTACAATAACAGGAGAGAAAAGGCTAGAAGATCCAAGAGTGGGTATTAAATATTTGTCACCACTAGCTGTGTATCTCACCATCTTCCACATTCCTGCCCTCCTTGGATTGCTGCTCGATCAACATGTATGTAGTCACAGTGGCATTTCTACACCTCCCCCACCAGTGCCTGCAATTCCAATTTTTCTGATATCTGACACAACTGTATCCTCCTCAAGCCATGATTGATTGCTTCCGAACTGCTTTTCCCCCCACCCGACACCAGTCTACCCATTTCTGCTAAGCAAACTTTGCAGGCCTGATTCTGTGCCCCTCCCCTTTGCCAAAATTGTCAGTAATTCCTCAATTATTCAACAACATTGATTGAACGTCTTTCACATGCCAGGCACTGGCTGCCAATGGTGACTAACATTGCCTTAAAATGAAGCCCAGACTTTAAGCTGGTATTTTGTAAGACCCTAACATACCCTTCCTGGTTTACCCCTTTCCAGCACCCTCCAACCTTACATTCTAGACACATCCACTGCCCATTATTTCCCTCACACTCTCTGTACATCTCCACCTTCAGATGCATCTTGACTGAGAAACTTACATGCATAGTGCTGGACACTTTTGATCCACTTCCTCATTTATTATCCATGCATTATTTACAATAAGACCAGGATTCTTATTGATTGTGCCTTTGTTGACACAGTTTCCCCCAACCACAGTGCTCTTATCTCCTCAAGCTCGCTCATCCTTTAATGGCCAAGCTAAATGTCACACCTGACACTTCTGGCTAGTATTAATATCACCTATCATTATATTATTATAGAACCTTCCTTGAAGTTCCTTTATACTACCTGACACTCTTTGCAGATACTTCTGATGGCAGAAGACCCCAGAAATTGATAACGGAGGGACTGTATCAGTCAGAATCCAATCAGGAAAAAAGAAACCACTCTCATGTACCAAACAAAGGGAACTTTGATTATACAGAGCATGGAAGAACAGAAAAACGAAGTCAAGGATGACAGTCCAGGCAGAGATTAGCAATAATAAAAATCTGCTACCCCTATGAGATTAGGAGGACAATGGAAGGTGGTGGGATTTGGTCACTCAGCAGAAGCTGGAAATGTGGTATAGGTCATCTAGTAAGAGCCAGAACCTCCGAGAAGACAGACCTTTAGCGGGGATGTTGCTACAGGCAGTGGGGGAGTGATAGCCTGTCTTCTCTCTCCCCGCAATCATCTGATTCCCCACCACTGTGACCTTTGACTGAACCCAGATGGAAGTCAGTTGACATGGGAATCTAGGTCACCCTGCCCCTTGACTGGGAGCAGAGCAGGACAAAGGTAGAATAGTGCAGTGCCAAGCCAGTACCTCCTACTTCTGAAACTGTAACACTTGATTGAAGTTACACAGGATCCTTTAACTCATCTACAATATGAAAGTTTACATAACAGGCTTAAGGAAATGCAAACTCCAACACAAAGCTTATTTCTCTCATTTGTCCTCTGTCACCAACAGTTCTTTACCCAAGTACAATCACCCTGAGGCTGCGTTGAGACCTTGATCTCTCCCAGGAACAAGGCTCAGGTCTCATTTCTTACCAAGCTCAGCTCTTGGTTTTGTGGAGTAGCTTTATTTGCCCCAGTGAGAGTCAAGATGACATTTCTCTGCGGACGCCTCTGACCCTAGAGACTGACATTTGCCTCCTTGGTCCCTCCTCTGGCTGGAAGTTTTCAGGCCCTTCCTGGGTGTGAGGGAAGTGTCCCACTAGGGGGCAGCAGAGAGAAAGATTAAGGCTGTGGTCACTGGATTTCAGTTGTGTGTTCAAATCTACCCTCTGCTCTCTTCTGGTAACTGAGCTTGGTCTCTAACTTGACCTCTCTAAAGTTACAGCCCCCTCATCTGAAACATGTGGACAGTGATAGCTCCTGCCTCATAGGGTTATCATGAGGGTTAATGACCACAAGAAGAAGCAAGAAGAAAACCCATAAACATCTGTAAACTTACCACTCAGAGATAACTCAGTTATCATTTTTCTGTGTAACTATTTATTCTCTTCCTTATAAATATTTCATTTTAAAAAATGGGATTAAAGGGTATTCATTATTTTAAAAAGTAATCCTCCCCCCCCAAAAAATACCATTTCTTCAATATCTTTCTGTGTCATTACATACCATTTTAAATGGCTGCATTGGTATAAATATGCTGTGCCTTGTTTTATTTAACAAACCTTGCTTTTAAAGATCTTTTGAGGATGCCTGGGTGGCTCAGTTGGTTAAGCGTCTGCCTTCAGCTCAGGTCATGATCCCAGGGTCCCAAGATCAAGTCCCACAAGTTCCTGTGCTCCTTGCTCAACAGGGAGCCTGTTTCTCCTTCTGCCTGCTGCTCCCCCTGCTGTACTCTCTCTTTCTCTCTCTCTCTCTCTGACAAATAAATAAATAAAATTTGAAAAAAATAAAAAGTAAAGATCTCTTTCTGTGGACATTTAAGATGTTTCCAGTTTTTCACCACTATCAACCATGCCTCCAAAATACTTCTGAAAGGGACCAAATACCTCCTTTTCCTCTGAGCATTTTAAATACTTTGGGCTCCAAAGGAACATTGAATTTTCAAGCAGACTCTGATCTCTTCACAAACTGCCTGCAACACGATAAAGAGCTTTCTCATCTGTTGTTATTCTATCCCATCCTTGCAGCCTGGCCACAAGGTCAGCCGTCGCAGGTTGCTAAAAGCAAGTCTGAAGAACAGGTTTTAGACCTTGCTGGCTTTCTTGGCCTTTCTCTAGATGGAATCTATCCAGGAGTTTTCTTTGGGTTGTGGGCCAGTGTTAGAGGTGCAGGGCCTTCTCCAAAGCCAACACAGATGCCTTATTGCCAATAACACATGATGTCACAAGCCTGGATTATGATGTATGACCAGTGTCTTCTGTTCTCTCAGGACCTGCAGAACAGGCTTTGTGTTATATATGAAGCTGTTGAGATGGTTCTTTACTTTTCATGCTGTTCTCCTAAACTGAGATGAGCCCCTGGGAAAGCAGATCAGACTTCCCAGATTAGAAATAGTTTAGAAGCAGTAGCTGATGGGATGTGGCTAATCTCTAATCTAGGACCTCCTGTGCAGTTATTACAGAGTGGGTACCAATTTTCTGGAGAAAATTATGGGGCACAGGAAGATGCCTGACCTCCAATACCTACAGCTATACCTGAGTGAGAGAGAAACACTAAGGCTTTTGTAAATTCTTCTGATAATCCATAATCTCAGGGAGAAGTGACATAATAGTTCGTAAATAACCACTAGCCTCCCACCAATACTTCCTCGTGGAATGGAGTCTGTATTAGTTTGCTAGAGCCACCGTAACAAGGTAATATAGACGGGGTGGCTTAATAGTAATGTATTTCTCACATTTCTGGAGACTAAAAGTCTGAGATCAGGAAGTCTGCAGAGTTGGTTTCTTCTGAGAGCTTTGAGAGAAAGATCTGTTCCAGGCCTTCCTTCTTGGCAAGTATATGGCTGTCTTCTCCCTGTTTCTTCACATGCTCCTCTTCCTGTGTTTGTCTGTGTCCAAATTCTTTTTTTTTTTAAGACTTTTTTTTAAATTTGACAGAGAAAGAGACACAGCGAGTGAGGGTACACAAGCAGGGGAGTGGGAGAGGGAGAAGCAGGCTCCCCGCTGAGCAGGGAGCCCAATGCGGGGCTCGATCCCAGGACTCTGGGATCATGACCAGAGCTGAAGGTAGTCGCTTAACCAACTGATCCACCCAGGCACCCTGTGTCCAAATTCTTATAAGGACACCCACCATACTGGATTAAGGCTCATTTTAATGACCTCGGCTTAATGTACTTAACACTTTTAAAGATCCTAACTCCAAACGCAGCCACATTCTGAGGTCCTAGGGGGTTAGGACTTCAATACACAAATTTTGTCAGGACATAATTCAGCCCATAGCGGTCTAACCACATGAATTAACACAGAAAGAGCTAACAAAATATGGATTGGAAAAAGCAAATTGCAGAATAATATATTCTATAAGCTATAATTTATGAGAAAATTTTAAAGCCCATAAAGTGATAACCTACCTTTCTTTATGAATTCACAAATGATTGGTATGTAGAAAAGAAAGATAACCACGGACTTCATGATGGGTGTTCTCTCTGAGGAGGAAGAGAGAGATGGGATTGTGACAGCTTAAAAAGACAAACTTGACTGTGTCTCTAATGCATTTTTTAAGCTGGAGCCTATATGACAAAATATTAATATTCGTTCATTCATTCATTCTTGTGGTGATTGCATATCTGTTACTTTTGATATTTTTATGATTTTAAGAAGGGTCATTAAGGAAACCCTTGTTCTATTTTGCTTCTCTGATGTCCTGGGGAGTGATGGATTTTTCCTCAGTTTACCTCTTGGAGTTCATGGGAGGATCACAAGAGCCAGGCCATCCAACCCCATCCCCCACCTTCTCCTCCAAGGACTCTATATGCCTGTAAAGTTTTTTACCAGCCTCAAGCAGGAAGGAGGTTCCCTGCCCCCACAACTTCAGAAGGGAACAGTGGAACAGCCCATGCTTTGGTCTCTATTTTGTGCCAAGCGCAGGGCCGTACTAGGTACGGGTTATCTCCCCATTGTGTGAAAGGGAAAAAGTCCTCAGGAGACATGCCAGCCAATTAGAGGACATCTGAATTTTTTTAAAACTGTCTTCATTTCATGGCTTTTTTAATTCCACAATATCACCTGAATCTCTCAAGAACCAGTGGGCCAGCCAGAGCAGATAGTAGTGGCCCAGCTTCCAGTCCTGGATTCCCAAGGTGGTATGTGTGATTTGACCACAATCCTGCCCTGTGTTCGAAGAAGGTTCAGCTGCTCCTACAGAGCACCTTCCTCACGGTCACTGGAACACACAGATCACTCCTTGAGAATTTCTACACGTCCATTTTCTCCCTGACTCAGTTGGTACCTACCACCTTGTTTTTTGTTTTTTGTTTCATGTTTGATCCCCTCAGCTAGACTAAATTATAAGATCCACAACTCAGAGGCCACACTCAAATGTGCAAAAATGGAACAGTCTTTATAGTCTGTAACCAAGTGAAGTTCCTTATGAATCTCATCTTGCTGAGTGGTGATGGGGCATGAAGGATTTAAACTTCCTGATATCAGTATCAAAGGGTTACTGACATTCTCAGGTAAGCATGGAGGGATTTCAGTATTTAAGTATTTAATCAGGAATGTCTTCTCTCCACCTTCACTGGCTCTTATATTTCAAGATGATGCTAAGTTCAAGGGGGGTTTGGGGTGATAGCCTAGTGATGCTGAGGCAGGAGCTTTAGGACCCAGTACTTTTCAGTGGGGGGTGGGGTGTAGAGAGGAGGTTCTGGTCTGCTTGTGTTGGAGGTGGCCACTGAAGTCATGGTAGTGAAATGTATGGGCCCTGAAGAACCAAGCCTCCCTTGGTCCCAGCTGACACTGTCCCGCTCAAGCTCTAGGGAACCTGCAGTACGACTCAGCTACCAGCCTCATCTCCTCTGAAAGCCTATGAAATCTTTGCACTTTGTCCATGACTCACTAGACTCAGGAATGCTTGAGAAATGGTGATAGCTATGTTCTCTTCTTACATAATTCCTTGCTAGTCCAGGCTACAAACTGGGTGGGACCAAGTTTTTCCAGCTTTTTGAACAGGAAGAATTTTTTCTTAGAGGTTTGCAATATTTTCCAGACTAAATCTCAAGAAATAAAAAGCAAGTTTTCCTGAATTGGAGGTTATCCAAATTTATGGGAGTAATTTGTTTAGGTCTCCACAACTTCTCCCCACAAGGGGTGATCCAGAGCTACCATTTCTTATTTCTTGCCTGCCTTCCTTTATCTCCCCTCCTGGGAAGGTCTTTTTCCTTCTTTCCTAATGGACACTCTATACCGGCTCCTAAATTTTCTCTAACATGGTCAATAAGGAGGCTCTAGAGTCCAAGGTAGCTAGGCCTGCCTATTGATTTATAAATGGGGCAGCTCTAGGAATTTAGAAAATGTTTCCTTTTGACAACCTAACTATGGTCTTAAAAAGTTAGCTTTGAGACTCAAAACCCACCAGGAAAACAAGATGTACAGGAAATGAATATATATCAGAAACTACTATTGCTGTAGTGCAACCATAAGCATCTTGCGGTGGGGGGGACCCAGCACAAATCTGAGTAAAGAGCCAGCAGTCACATTAGTGTTTGTTGAATTGCAGAAAGAAGAAATATAAAGGATATTTCACTCCACTATAATCACCTCTTACTCTTTGCCACACCAAAGTCTTGACAGAGGTATACCAGATGACTAAAGTGCCACTCCTAAATTCTACCTTACCATTTCTTGAAGTCTTCTAGATTTTCTCCACTTCTCCCTCTCCATTTTTCTCCCCCCTTGCTCACTTATTAAAAAGCTGGGCAACTGCTTTGAAATGTCACACCTGAAGTTAGCTCAGCTTGAAAAGTTTAAAAATAGTCAACTTGAGGAACAAAGGTGTTTACCAGAAACAAACACTGTTAACAGCTCCTCCTTGACACACTTCAAGTTCCCACAGGGTGACAGAGTTGATGTGTGAACAAGGACCCTCCTGCTTCCTTCTTCTGCTCTCTACCAGGCTTCAACATCCAGACTCCTTTCTTCTTGGGCAAGCTGGGTATGCCCCAGTCTTAGGAAACTGAGAACAAGAGAATTTCTTCTTCACTTACCTGAATCCTTGACCCTTTGTTACAGTCTGATTACTTCCATTTCTTTTCATGTAACTGATATAAAAAAGTAAAAGTTTTCTTCTACCACTTATCCTGTATTATAATCATACATTTTATTTGTTTATAGACATGCAATGTAATAATTAAGAGCAGAGGCTTTGGAACAAATAATCCAATCAAGAAATGGGCAGAAGACATGAACAGACATTTATGCCAAGAAGGCATCCAAATGACCAACAGACACATGAAAAAGTGCTCAACATCACCCGGCATCAATTCAAAACCATAGTGAGATACCACCTTGCACCAGTTGGAATGGCTGAAATTAACCAGTCAGGAAATGACAGGTGTTGCTGAGGACATGGAGAAATGGGAACCTTCCTACACTGTTGGTGGGAATGCAAGTTGGTGTAGCCATTCTGGAAAACAGCGTGGAGGTTTGTCAAAAAGTTGAAATAGAGCTACCCTACGACCTAGCTATTGCACTAATGGGTATTTACCTTAAAGATACAAATGTAGTGATCTGAAGGGGCACGTGCACCCGAATGTTTATAGCAGCAATGTCTACAATAGCCAAACTATGGAAAGAGCCTAGATGTCCATCAACAGATGAATGGATAAAGAAGACGTTATATATATATGTATATATATATACATATATATATGAATATATATATATATATATGAATACTACACAGCCATAAAACCCCTGAAATCTTGCCATTTGCAATTACATGGATGATGGAACTAGACAGTATTATGCTGAGTGAAATAAGTCAAGCAGAGAAAGACAATTATCATATGATCTCACTGATAGGAGGAATTTGAAAAACAAGACAGAAGATCATAGGGGAAGGAGGGAAAAATGAAACCAGATGGGGTTTCATAACCCACATAAGAGACTCTTGATCTCAGGAAACAAACTGAGGATTGCCGGAGTGGAGGAGGTGGGAGGGATGGGGGGATTGGGTGATGGACATTGGGGAGGGTATGTGCTATGGTAAGTGCTGAATTGTGTAAGACTGATGAATCACAGACCTGTACCCCTGAAACAATAATACATTATATGAAGAAAAAAAAAAGAATTCAACTGTCCTGAGGCGCCTGGGTGGTTCA